TATAGAGAAAGTCTCTTATCATCTTAGAGAATACATATGGCTCCCATAACCAAATATTGCTAGAAATGTGGATGTTAAATGTGCATCTGGTGAGGTTTAAAAGAAAATGATGAAATGTGATTGGACAATGGAGGAAGGGTGATGCTTTCTATGCAGTAGCAAAGAACTTGTCTGAATTATATTCAAATATCTGGTGGAAAGCAGAACTTGTAAGTGATGAACTTGGATATCTGGCTGAGGAGATTTCTAAGCAAGGTCTTAAAAGAGCCACGTGGTTTCTCCTTGCCACTTACAGTAAAATAACAGAGGATAGAGATGGACTTAAAAATGAACTGTGCAAAATGAAAACAAAACTTATTTAAGTTTTGGAAAATCCTGTCTTGTAGAGGGTGACAAGTCCCAAATATATAGATCAGACATCAGGCTGGAGGCTTTTCCTGACTTATGTGGTTTCAGGGGCTGGTGAACCCAAAATCAGTAGGTCAGGCTGTAGGGTGCTGGCTGATGTCCCAAGAAACAGAGGTCAGAGAATGACAAGTTGGATGCAGGATTGAGAGAGGGCGAGCTTTGCCAGAACATCCATATATATTGGATGCAGGCCACACCCCCAAGGAAAATCCTCTTTCAAATGAATGGCTGCTCACATTCTATCACAAAATGGAGGATAATTACATAATATCTGCCAAACCTCTAACAATGGCCTAGTCAAGTTGACACACAACCTTAACCATGACAGTTACCTCTCTTCAACACTCCCACATAACACCTTGGGCAGAATGAAGCCAGAAAGTTTAGGTTTTTCAAATAAGGCTACCTGATATGCACTGAAAAACCATGACCCCTCTTCCTTTCCTTACAGCTAATCAATCACCAACTCCTGGCAATTCTATCTAGTAAGTATCCAGCCACACATTCAATTTTCTCCATCCTCAGTACCACTATCCTCATCCAACTATAATCCTCATCTCTCTCCAGGACTACTGAAACAAACTGATCCTTCCTTCTTGCTTCCTTTAATCTCTCTCCACAATGCCACCTGAGTGATCCTTTCAAAATACACACCAGTCACGTAGGCATCTTGCTTTCAAAGCCCTGCAAAATTTGCCTTACCATCTCCCCTCTTCTTCCCTGCATGGAGGCATGGACACGCCACTTGGAGGAGGAGGCTGTGATGAGGCATGGGGGTGCTTTTGGAGGCTGTTGACCAGCTCCTGATTATCCTTAAGGATCAGTTGAAACAAAACTTTTTCCCAGAAGCATTCGAACTTTATTGTGATTCTTATAATCTATTTAGTTATGTGACTCCTCTGATAAATTACAGTTAACATGAAGGCAGGGACCACGTCTACCTAATTTACCATTGTACCCTCAGCACCTGGCACTACCCGAAATACAACAGAAGTACAATAATGTGTTACTGAATGAATAAATGAATAAATGGAATGAGTAATTTAGAGTTATGTGTATCAAATAAAAAACTTCCCTGGGCAGGTCATAAACATCTGATTGTTTTAGGATGTCCATTACCTTCTGAGTATAGTTTTAAAATCAATGACTCTTATATTTAATGAGAATATATATGTATTTTTTTTAAGTCAACCAATACCATGATAGCCAGACCTCTTATTTGTCCTAAGAAAATGAAGAACAATTCATAAAATTGCTAAAATACAATGGTATGTTGGTCTTATTTGAGGTTGGATGGTGTATATTCAACAAAATCTCCTGAATATAAAAACATAGAAGATAATTCTAGATGTACAACTGGATTGTTTTCTCTGCAGATCAGCTGGACCACCCATTCCTGGCCTAAAAGATCTCCCATCTCAGTATCAACCACAGTGAGGACTAGAATAGGGAGCTCTGCTGGCGTAGTGGTTAAGAGCTATGGCTGCTAACCAAAAGGTCAGCAGTTCGAATCCACCAGGCACTCCTTGGAAACCCTATGGGGCAGTTCTACCCTGTCCTATAGGGTCACTACAAGTCAGAATCCACTTGACAGCAATGGGTTTGGTTTTTTGGTATTGTAGCTCGGCGGGGAGGGGGAGCATTGGTGGTTCAGTGGTAGAATTCTTGCCTTCCGTGTGGGAGACCTGGGTTTGATTCCCAGTCAATGCACCTCATGCGTAGCCACTACCCGTCAGTGGAGGCTTGCATGTTGCTATGATGCTGAACAGGTTTCAGTAGAGCTTCTAGAATAAGAATAGGAAGAAAACCCTGGCAAGCTACTTCTAAAAATCAGCCAATGAAAACTCTATGTATTACAACTGTCCGGTCTGATCCACAACCAATCATGGGGATGGTGCAGGACTGGACAGTGTTTCATTCCACTGTGCATGGGGGCACCATGAGTCAGAGGTCAACTCAATGGCCGCTAACAACAATATCCTAGCCCAAGAATGCCAGAGTTGTTCTGGCTCTGTCTGAGAGGGGCACAGGGAGCTTTCTAGACTTGGTTACTTCAACCATCATTGTTCAGGTCACTTCATCAGGCTGTTCCTATTAAAAGGTGCACAATCCTGAGTGTGAAGGAAGGGGAGGTACAGAAAAAGAATGTACCTCCCTCATAAATGAAGAGCAAACAATTCCTGGAAAAAAAATTTATAAATTCAGGCTATCGATTGGACAAAAAGTACAGCTGAATGGAACCCACCACCAGGCACATGAATTATCCCAGGGCATCATGGTCCCTAGGAGGACTTAGCAAAATTTCTCTGTCAAACCACTTTTATAATATGTGTATGCAGCTTTATGTGCAAGTCTATAAAGGAATTTCAGCTTTATTCAAATGAAATCTTTTTTCCATCTTTCCCTCTCTTACTCTGAGGAAAATATCTACATTTCTTTTGAAGAAAAACAAGCCTGCCTAATCCTTCAAGAGCTCACTCCTCCCCAAGCCTTAAAAGTTGTCTTGCAGTTTAAAGGAAATAGAGGTAAGAAACTAGATCCAAGTTGTATGTATCAGCATCCAAAAAATAACCTTGATGATCCTCATGAAAAGAAATAACAATGTAAGAACTGAGAGCATGCTTGTGAGTTCAAGTTTAGATTCTGCCATTTACTAGCTATGTAACTTTAGCCAGTTCAGTTAACTTGTATGAGCCTCAGTTTTCCTCATCTGTAAAATGGTAACATTATCATGTCTCTTAAAGTTACATCCTTATACTTAAGCCTTTGACTATATGAGATACATTTACTAATTTTCACATCATGATGTAAGACTAAATCTTTTACAGGTTTAGTGGCTTCTGCAGGGTGACCCAATGGGTAAAAGATGGAGTCAGCAATTACATCTGGCTTTCTGAATTCCAAACAGTTTCTTCTAACATAGTCAGCTTTAAAATTCTTAGACAAGTGTCATTGAAAACAATATTAAAGATCAACAGTATTAAAGATCAACTGTATTAAAGACCAACTGTATTAAAGATCAATTCCCCAATAAAGCCAAAAAGAAAGAAAACAATTACTATAGAAGATTACTCATATATAGATTACTTCATTATATCTACTACTTATCATAACTCCTGTTTGATACAGTATGTTCTGATCATGTTAACCACTGTTGTTAAGATCACATACTTTTCTGCATAGGTTTTAGTAAAAAAGGTAGAAAGCTTACAGACACTGAAGGAATACAGCATATTATTGCCAGAATACAAAGATAAAACCACTTAATTCACAAATTCTTCCTAGATGATTATCTTTAGAATTTAGTGACCTACAGAATACTTTCAACACGCTTAACAGCCTTGAAATGTTCATGTGAAAGTGATAATATTTTAATGGTGACAATAACTGTGCCTCACAGTATTACTCACCTGACTAGAACAAGACAAGGTGCCTTCAAAAGATGCTAATAAAAATTTAAAAAAAAAATAGAAAACAAGGTCCTTAAATATCTTAGCCACAAGATGCCAGTAAAATTGAACTTAATGTCTAGTTTAATTTGACAATGGAAAAGTCAGCATTTAAAGGGTAGATAAATTTCCCTTTGTCCTTGTTTTCCTAAGAAACTTTCAAATGTTGAAATCAATTCCTTTTGTCCCCTTGTTATTCATCTGCTACACATTAAATAGAAACTCTGGGCATCTAGTGATTCCCGCAGGGTCTTTCATCTACCGAGAAGCCTGGTACAAATTAAATCCTTACTCTCCCTCAGAAATTATAGATATGTATTATAGTAGAGCATTGATTTATCAGTCTATGCTTTTGCTAGGTCAGCTTGGTGTGACTCGCTAATTGTAGCCCTTCATCCAAAGTTATTCTGGGGTTAGCAGATTCTGATGTTGTCTTAATTAACATAGATCATTACTATACTATTTGTAAGCTGTATTTTAAAATGCATTCTCTTATATACTGTGTTTTAGTTACTTCCCAGATACTTGTAAAAGAGCCATTAAGGCTACATGTGTAGCAATGCTAAGCTATGACAGGACCATGATAACGCTTATCACAAATCACATGGAAATACTGACTATACACGAGATCTCTTAGAAATGTTTAACTGAAGCGAACATTGCTTTAGCGTTAGACTTTAGAACCAATGGTTAAGGAAATGACTTCAATCCCAAGTATGCAGTATGTCTTTGGAGACCACAGTCTACACAGAGTATCTCTATGAAATCCTTTCTATTAGGCAGAAACCATACATATATGCCAGCACTGACATACTGACACTGACATGTGCACACACACACTGTTTTCAGTTTCTAAATATGTTTGGAAAGTTCTAAGAATTTCACTTTCACCTGTTACCTACCAAACTTATTAAAAACTTTTTTTTAGCAAAGAGTTGCTCTTTTAGATCTTTAATGAAGAAACATAATTTGATCAGCTCTTAGTCAATTCCAATTCCCCGAACTGTTCTAAATTTTTTTTCCAAAGAATTGTTGCAGTCTAAAGCAAGTCCAATATCTGCTTTTACTTATGTGCTCTTTAAACCAAAAGTGAGCACGTGAAAACCATCGTCTTCAATGTGGAAGCTCCAGCAAATCCCTTACCTCACTCGAATCCTCCTGCTGATTGATAACCGCGAGGGCGTCCTCCGCCGCCTGCCGTTTGGCCTCGGCGACTGTGCGTTCCATCTTGGCTCGCTCTGTCGTGATCATGTCGTGGGCTTTCCGCTCCGCCTCGGACACAGCCTTCTGCAGCTCAGTCATCGCCTGGCGCTTCACCTCATTGACGGCCTCCTCTGTGCGCCAGTCAGGCCAAACCAGAAGAAAGAACATTGCTGTGTTAGCTCAGGACCTGGGATGCCGATAGGTTTTGAGAGAGCATTCTGCAGAACATGCATGACTCTCATCAAAATTACCTGGCAATTCTGGCTGTATAAAAAACTTAGCAGGTTTTTGAAATTCAATTAGGAAAACAAAAGGTGAGTTTTATCTTTTAAATTGCACTTCTGGAATATTTTTTAAAATATTACCCAATTTTCTACTAATCCGCTGCATCCAGAAATCATTCTGAGACTAGACTAAGTAGGTAAAGGACATAAACAATCACAGGGAGCCTGTTTGGATAATTCAGACACACCAAGAAGGTAGTTCCCCATAATGCCATAGGTTAATATGAACAGATGAAGCACATGGGTAAAACTTTCAGAAAGAATAGAAGGGAATGGATTTTACACATGCACATATGTAAATGCAAGTAATAATTTTGCTGGTAAAAATGCAACAATAGTGAAAAGCCCGCTCCCACAGCAACTAAGTTAATGCAGACCTTTTAAAGAAAATCTATGATGAAACAGATTATCTAGCTTTTCTTTTTCTTAAGTCATTTCCTGAGTAATATGGATATGTTTTTGTAGACTAAATGACAGGAATTTTTAAAAATCATCTTCTCATTTCCATATTTTAAGCTGACATTCAACTACTCAATCAAATGTATACAACAGTTTTGCATAACCAACTGTTGCTCTGGGCAAATACAATGGAATCATACCACAGGCCAAAATAATCAGCCCTAACTACAAACCTGAAAGGTGTCAAATTAGCTTTTTTTTTTTGGCTTTGGAAAGGGTGCAAAGATTCTACTAATGTACAACATAAGATTGACAACTAAAACAAGTAATTTCCATTTTAAAAAATTAACTGTTCTAATTAACAAGGGAAAATATCCTCCCCCTGAATTAGTTTATCTAATTTTCATCTTTATTCAAAGTAAAATGACAATGATTAATTGAAAATTTAATAAGCAGTAATTATTAACTTGGCAAACCTAGTACCAATTAACACTCTATTAAAACTAATTATGACATGTTTCATTCAAGTGTTTGCACTTGATTGTTTCACCCACTTAAAAAGCACCTTAATTAAATGTTCTGTTTAATTAAAAACATAGATTCCTAATAAAAATGTTTTACTGTAGATTAAAAATGTAAGAGATGTAAGAAACTCCTATGGTTTCTTGAATTTCCATGGTTTATTTCACACATCTATAGTCCACGGCTTGAGGATCATCAAAAGCTCTCCACTAGTAATTAACATCCTGACTTTTGTCATTTTGAAAGTATTATTTCTGAACCACATTCCTTTGCAATTACCGTCTGCTAGAGTTTATAAACTAAAATATAAGGGGGCAAGATTCCAGACTGGAAATATTAACTTAAATATGTTAAGCCTTTGTTGTTGCTTTATGATATGCATTTAAAATCTGGAGTGAATCAAGAGTAGTGCAAATGGAGCTTGCAGCATTTTCTTCACCAGGAGGTGAAAAGATGCCTTTATTACCCTGTCATAAATGACTCCGGGCACCAGGGAAGTACTGCCCTTCTAACTATACAGCCAGGGTCTAATTTGGTTTGAATATTCAAGGTGAATTAAAATTCTATCTAAGTGGTAATACAGGACAATAATTTTTGCTTACGATCAAAGCTGCAGCTTGACTAATTGTATATGCAAATAAGGCAATTTATATTTAAATTATGCATTCCTATTCTAATCCCACAGGCATATACAGATCAGCAAAGAGAATTGGTAGGACATTTGCAAGGTGCTTGAATATTTATTACCAACTGCAAACATTCTCTGATCATTTGAAAAGAAATATACTGGAAAAAAACACTCAGTTGCAATTTTAAAACCAACATTATGTTAGATTTTTCCAGTTTTATGAAGATCTTTATAACTTTCAAGTGCTTTTTGATATCTTGGCTGTTGCTTTAAAAAATACTAGCTTTTAGGGGAAAACGGATGTGGCTTTGAACATTTGTTAAGGTGTTCCTAATCTTTAAAAATGTGTATTATTATGTTATGTTGTATTATTGGGACAACATGCAAAATTTGAATAGGATCTGTAGATTAAATAATAGTGTTGCATCAATGTTAATGTCCTGATTTTGGTAGCTCTATTGTGAATATTTAGGAGAATACTGTTCTTAGGAAATACACGCTAAAATGTTTAGGAGTAAAGGAACATCATGTTTGCAACTACTTATAAATAAACATAATATATATTAGAGAAAGAGGGAGGAGAGAGGAAAGAAAAGAGAGAAGATAATTAAGCAAATATGATAAAATTGAATCTGGGTAAAGGAAGTAAGGGGATTTTTGTACTTTTTTTGCAACTTTTCTGCACATTTGAAATCATTTCAAAATCAAATGGCACAAAAATTATACAATGTACTTTCAAGCACAGACATACCCTCTTGCAATTATAGTCTTCTATGAAAAAAGATGCACTGGTTACACTAGATTACATTTTGAGAGTTCTGCCCCTTCAGTATTTTTTTCACATCCTTTAATCTTTATTTTATTTACTTACCTTTTGCCACAAAACAAACGTAATGTATAACACTTTCTTTGCAAAGAAACATTTTATAGTTTGTTTTTCTCCCCCCTTAAAAAATAGTTGCCCACAGCAAATAATAGAATCCTAGGGAAAAAAAGCTTTCGAACTGTAACAAGCTGAGTGCAGATGTCACATTCCGCCCTTGGTGTTCCCATCATGTTGGACATCTTGACACTGTGAACACTAGAAAGGCTTTTTAAGAAGCCTAAAAAGACAAATATCATAAGCAGTTATTCAAGATTTCCAGATGAAAACTCATCTGCACTTTGGATTTAATATACTCCCTAAAATTTAGCATCTATTCATAGAAAACTACCATATTTTTACACAAATAACATGAGCCTTCTGCATTTGTTTGCTGGCTGCACCCTCCCCGCACCCTACCAACAAGGTATTTTCCTAAGCACGCTATGCTTTTTTTTTTTGGTAACAGCAACATGTGGAAGAGGACTGGCGTGGCAGCGCTTGTGAGGGTGCCTCACGGGGTTGGGGGCAGGGAGAGGAGGGCACGGTCAGCAAACAAATACAGAAAGCACATGTTATTTGCGTAAAAATATGATATTCCCAAACTGCTACAGGCAGCAGATTAGGGATACCACCATAAGAGTATGAACTTAATCTATAATACTACCAAGTCATATTTTAGGTTGAAGACCTAATGTAGATGGTAGGCACATCTAAAAAATAATCAAAACATTTTTCTTGCTAAAGTTTAATGATTCTTCCAGAGTGGGTGGACCCAACCAGTAAAGGATTGCTCCTTCTCTACTCTCTAAGTCCCTTGGCCTAAAATATATCCAGAATTGGTTTCAGATGCATAAACAAGAGACAGTGAAGAAAAATAACGGTGGACTCAATAGATTACAGCATGCCAAGTTAAAAAAAAAAATGCTGATTAAGTGCAAAATACACAGTGCAGTTTAAAATCTGCTTCCAATTGCTTACCACTTATAGTAGGACTTCCTTTGTGTATATCTATTCAAGTTGACTTCCCAACAAAGGCGTTATATTCAGAAAAATCTGCTCTCACTTAATAGCAGTCAGTCAAAGACTCAAGCAGATAATAGCATAGAAGGAATTTGGATTACATAAGAGTTTACTGCCAATTTTTCTTTATGAACTATCAAGAATTTGACTTAAATACTCATATAAGGGGAAATGCAAGACTTTCTCTCCCACCATAAAAAGTGATCGTTCTATTGCCCAAAATGACAATTCTTTGTACCTCTTGTTGGAATAAGTTGCACTGAAAACTTAAAAATGTGGGAGAAAAAAGGGTGGAAAGAAGATGTAGAAATTCTTTTCCCAGGTAGGTGGCTCCTGGCATGTTTTTACAGCCTGGGAGTATCACATCACTATTGCCCACTTGTTGTTGTTGTTGGGTGCCATCAAATTGTTTCAACTCATAGCAACCCCAGGTGACAGAACAGAATTGCCCCATAGGTTTTCTGGGCTGTAATATTTACAGGAGCAGATCACCAGGTCTTTCTCCCCAAGAATCACTGGGTGGATCTGAACTGCCAACCTTTCTATTAGCAGCCAAGCACTTAACTGTTTGAGCCACCAGGGCTCCTTATTGCTCACTTAGGAAATCTTATTAGAGATGATCCTGCAAATCTGGCACTACAATGCAGTTGAGTCACCATACATATTTTAACTTTTAGTTTTAACTGAATGTATCTTTCTGATTTGCATATGGGACAAGCAACAGATCTTTCTGGTTCTTAATATAAGTTACTAAACCTAGATACTACCAGATTTCTAAACTCATTATCACTCTTTCAAAAACAGGTACTTCTTAGAAAATCCATAAAAATACTCAGATAAGATCTAAATGACCATGGAGTCAGCAAGTTGCATATAACTACAAACACAGCTGAGTCAAATCAAAACTTAAAGAAATCATTTGCCAAAAAATAGTGTCTTTCCCTTAACTCTTGCTTCTTTGATCAGCGTTGTCAGCCCTATGCCCATCTGACTGTTTGCAGAAATAGTATCTCCCAGATCTTCAACTCTGATAGACAAACTATTTTAATAGTTTAAGTTACCGAAGCGCAAAGACACAGTACACGTTTTTCATGTCATCTCTAGCTCTTGAAACAGGTTCATGATTTGTCTCCGGAGGTGGTTTTTATTTTGTTCAGATTTTATAGTGCTGGTGTTTTGCCAAAATTCTGCCAGATCTGAACTTCTTTAAGCCCAATGACAAGTTCATAGGTCATCGAATACTTTAAAACTATAAAATACAGACAAACATCATGTTATAAAAAGGAGATAGTGTACATGGAAAGTAAAGCTGGAAGTTTAGCAACTTTGTCATTTAACTTAAAAAATCATTTAGCTCTCTCACTGAATATTTATTAGCACAGAGAATTAGTTTTTAAAATTGGTTGTAACCATAAAATTTTGAGTGCCTCAACAACTAGATTTGATGCGATTATTTTTTAAAGAATGCAGAGGAAAAGGCTGAAGTATGCAATTTAATTTATAAAACACCAGATTTTTTTTGCATGAAAGAAAAAAATGCATGCAAGCTGAGACTTTGTATGCCAAGTTTCAGCCTGAAAGCATTATAGCCCCTGAAAAATAGGGGTTTATAATGGAAATATTGCCAGCCTCTCAATTATTGTGGCAGTAGCAGATGCTACTAAAATAAAAACTATTTCACGTTCTAATCAGGCCTGGTTTAAGAATATTAATCAGGTTTTTTATTTTGTTTTGTGGGGCTTTTTTTTATTTTTGTTGTTCATGTTAGCAGTAAAGTCCTTTCTTCTCATTCTTCACATCACTGCATTAACAACTGCACACAGCTGCCAGAACACTAAACTCATGTTTTTAAACAATTCTTACCAGCTTTCTTCCAGATCTCCTCTGGCACATATCCAGAAGCAGGCCTGTGAAGGAATTCCCGATGTGCGTCTATGAAAAGGATAAAAAGGGGGTGGGGAGAAGAGGGAAAGCATGATAAGCACTGTTATGTCATTACATGGCATTGAAGTAAGCAATGCCCATTCTCCTGACTTCTCTACAAAACTGTAATTTTAAAAGGCTGAACATTTTACTTCTAGAAAATAAACAAAAATAGCAAGGCCAGTCATCAAAGCACAAGGAAAATAGGTCACTGGTCTCAATATCTTGTATGCTCAGAGCCAAAACATAACCGCTTCATTGCACAATATGACGTTTGGAAACATCTGCCCCAGCATTCTCTCACTATGGGTATGTTTTATTTTAAGAAAAATTATATTTGGTAGTTTTTCTTTCAAAAGTCAAATCGGTAGTTAGAGCGATGCAATATACACACAGCTCTGATTCTACCATCTCTCAGTAAATAGTGAGTCTTATTCCATGGCTAACCAGTTTCTACACTTAATTACTTTTTAAAAATATCACTCAGCATTAAAAATGTTCACAAATCGGATCATATGGATTTGACATGGGTAGAGGCAAGAAATAATCATTAGAATGAATTCACAGCTATTCAGTTATCAAAAAACTTAATACATGCTTTCTAGAAAAGGAAATTCCATTTAAAATTCAACGTTCTGTTTATTATGCTTGTCAAATTTAAAGTTTGATAAAACAGCTAGTAATAAAGTTTATACAGAAACTCTAACTTCCAAAATAACATATTCATGGAAATGACATGTAATAGTTTATATATTTTAATAAATGCTTGAAAATAAAGAGTATGCAGTCCTCCATGGCTAAAATATACACTATATGTCTTCCATATTGGATTTTCAAAGGAGGCTTATGTATTTAACTGTATTTTTACACAAATAACATACACTTTCTACATTTGTTTGCCAACCATGCCCTTCCCTCGTGAGGTTTTTAGATACACGCTATGCCACTTTTTTTTAAAAAATATGTTTAAAAAATTAGCATAGCGCCCTTACAAAAATAACTTGTGGCGGGGGAGGAGTGTGGTTGGCAAACAAACATAGAAGGTGCATGTTATTTGTGAAAAAATACGGTAGTAGTTTTTAAGAAGAAAATCATTTTTATTTTATTTTATTGTACTTTAACTGAAAGTTTACAATTCAAGTTAGTCTCTCATACAAAAACTTATACATACATTGTTATGTGACCCTATTTGCTCTCGCTATACTGTGACAGCACACTCCTCCTTTCCACTCCAGCTTTCCCATGTCCATTCAACCAGCTCCTGACCCTCTCTGCCTTCTCATGTCGCCTCTGGACAGGAGCTACCCATTTAGTCTCATGCATCTACTTGAGCTAAGAAGCACACTCTTCACGAGTATCATTTTATGTCCCATAGTCCAGTCTCAATCTTTGTCTGAAGAGTTGGCCTCGGGAACGGTTTTAGTTTTGAGCTAACAGAGAGTCCAGGGCCATGTCTTCCGGGATCCCTCCAGTCTCAATCAAACCATTAAGTCTGGTCTTTGTACTAGAATTTGAGATCTGCGCCCCACTTTTCCCCTGCTCCGTCAGGGGCTCTCTGTTGTGTTCCCTGTCAGGGCAGTCACTGGTGGTAGCCGGGCACCATCTAGTTCTTCTGGTCTCAGGCTGATGGAGTCTCTGGTTTATGTGGCCCTTTTGTCTCTTGGGCTAATACTTTCCTTG